TCAAGAAAAGTAGGCAGAACTTCATGCCTCAGAGGTCCATCTTATAACTGCTGGGTATAATTTGAGCTCTTGGTGTTTCCCCTAAAAACACAACATGGAGAAAGAATGGACTTGACTGAGGACGTGAAGTCTACTTCAGCACGTCTATAAGTAGAGAATACTGTAAAACTTTCTTCATCCTTAAAAAAAAACTTGGAAAATCGTGATGCTGAATCTTTTCTAAGAACGGAGAAAGTGACTGACCACTTGGAAGCACTCATCGACCCCTTTGACCTGGATGTGTTCGTGCCGCACCTCAACAGCAACCTTGATCTCCTGGTGCAGCGGACTTCTGTAACTTGCCCCCAAATACCCTCGGTGGGAATGAAGTGCCACAGGCTCACGTTTCACAGTAAACCTACTCAGCACTTAGTAGCCAGGGTGCAGTGTTGACGGGGTGAGACACCCGTAGCTGAGCAGAGATGCAAAGGCTAAAAGATGATGAGAGAAAATCCCACACACTGGGGTGGCTGGGATCTGAACTCTTCAATTGTAGGCAGAGATTAATAAAGTTTTACACAAACCTCAGAAAGAGAACAACATGGCCATGCGATTTTGTGAAAGAAAGTTCAGATTCCAGCTTGGCATCTTACTAGCTGGGCAACTCAGCACAAGAGAGATAACCTCTCCATGCTTCAGTTTCCTCACTTGTAAAATGGGGTAATTGTAATATCCACCACTTAATGTTACTAGGAGGGTTCAACATGTACTATAGTGTGTAAATACCTGGCAGCCAATAGATTATAGCTGTAATAATTACTATTCTTAAAATATTCTTTGTAAATGCACTAACGATTCAAGTAGAGTTAAGCCAAAGGTAGATTTTTCTGTCTTCTTGCATCTTTTTTTCCATTTTTTGTTTTTGTTTGCTGGCTTTAAAGAACTGAAAATATATTTCAGAATTTTGGAGTAACACTTTCCATCAAAATGCATACAGCATAGTGGCATGTGCCTGTAATCCTAGCACCCTGTGAAGCTGAGGCAGGGGTATCGTAGATTTGAGCCCAGCCTGGCAACTTAGAAAGACCGTGTTAAAAATAGAAAGGGCTGTGAATGTAGCTCAGTGCAAAGACCCTGGGCTTGACCTCCATACTTCAAATCCTAGCCCCACAGGAGGCTGTGATAAGATGATTGTTTGATCCTAGGAGTTTCAGAGTTTGAGGCCAATCTGGGCAAAAGTGTGCCTAGAGGAGGTAGGGAAAGGGTAGGGGAGGTGGAAAATGTATTCTTTTTGTTGATACGAAAACAGAATGTTATTTGTATTATTTATTCAAGAAACACTTGTTAAAAACCTAGTAAATTTACTAAACCTTATGCAAGAATCCAGGAGAGAGTAGTAATGGAAATACAGTTTTAGCTACTTCCTCCTCGTTATAGTTTCTATCCGATGTCCCCCAAAGCCTCCTTCAGGCGTACGCGTGGCTTTGGGGAGGTGATTGGATAATGGGGGTGTTATAGCTGAGGTGGGCTTGGAAGAGGCGGGTCACGGGGACATC